CATCAAGGCGGAAATGTTTGGGGATTGGCACGACTCCTTCTGGCTCCTCCCCTGGCTTGCCGCGCAGCTCCGTGAGAACGACCCGGATGGCCGGGTTATCATCATGATATGCGAGGGATGCTTCCATCGCATGTACGTCCAGCCGCCAGCAGAACCGTCCTACACTATAGCCGCCCGATTATCGCTCTGGACGGGAGATTCCTCATCAGTGCCCAGCGGGCGACGCTCCTGATCGCTTTTATCATTGATGGCAACCAGGAGATCTTCATCCTGTCATGGGCCCTAGCCACGTCAGAAAACAAGGACTCGTGGACATGGTTTCTGCAACAGCTTCTCCTCAGTTTCCTGGAATGGCCGCATCGGGTCGATGCATCCATCATCAGCGATTGAGACAAGGGCTTGATTCCCGCCGCGCGTAACGTTCTTCCGACGAAGATTCCCACTACTTCTGCGCATGGCATTTGCAGCAGAACATCCGTTAATTCGGGGAACCGGCGCGGCTGTTCTAATGGCGCATGGTTAAGTGCCGCGACAAGTTCAACTGGGAGGCGCTGGTCAAGACATGCCGCAGGGAGTTTCCCCGCATGGCAGACTACCTCTTGGGTAAGGAGGTGGTAGAGCCCGAACGGTCTGTGGCAGCCGTAGCAGCAGCCGTAGAGGACACCACCGAGCTCTCCGCGGAGCAGGCAAGGGCGGCTGCTTTTGCACGACGTCGTGAAGGCCGCAGCGCCCAGAAGGAGAGCATGGGACTAGGGTTTCGAGTGGGCTGAGGCCGCGGCAGCAGGGGCCGTGGATCACGACGTGGCAGGGGCCGGGGGCGTGGCTAGCGTGGGACTGCAGAGGGGCAGGGGGAGGAGGCAGATGAGGTTTTGCCGGAGAACCAAAGCGAGGATAACGGGTGTGTCGAAGGGGAAGGTAACGCCGACAACAGGCCACCGGAACAAGGGCCATCGGCACAAGGGGAGTGTGAGAGTACGACCCCGTTACACCACTGGTCCTTTTCCCTATTTCCTTTTCCTTCCATTTCTCTTTTTACCGCATCTCATTTGGTTTCCCATTCTCCATTTTCCATTATCCTTTGGTTTATCCTGCTATTATAATTATATCACCGATCAGGCTTGGGATGTACTGGTGCGCTCTATCTAGCGTAATCCTGCCGTAATCCCTTAAAGCCTATAGCCTCGCGTGGCTATACGTAGGGTGATTCTATCTTCTAGAAGGGTCTATTCCCTTAGGATAAGGTAAACCTGGTTACCTGATGTACTCTGGAAGTATAAAAGCGCCTTGTACTGATCGATAGTGCAATCTTTCCTCGAGTCATTCGATCTTGTGACAGGGAGCCGACAAATGAGGAGCCACAGGTGGCGCCGGCAGTTGGTGGGATGGAGGAACACGCGGGCCTTGAGGCTGACGTGGTTGTCGTCGCCAAGGCTCTCCGAAGCCGTCGCCCCTTTGACATGAAATACATTATGCTAATGTCCCGATCCGGCTACCTACCAAGGCGCATAAGGCCCAATGAGCGGGCAGGGCAAGAGCCAGCCGCACCCCCACCCTTTCCGGTCAGGGAGGAGACAGCGGTGGAAGAGAACGATGATGGCGACAGCGATGTGACTCAACAACCGCCCATACCCCAAGCGTTGGCCATTGTCCCGCTCGACTACCCATGGCCCGACATTGACGGGCCTGAACCATTTGCCGCTGGGGCAGCGGCGGAGGGAGATGACGAGGAGGATGACAACGAGGGTGACGACGACGACAACGACCCAGAGAACGCGGCCACAAGGGCAGGGAGGGGAGTGCTCGCTAGTGGTGGCGTCGGTAGACGGAACGGGCGGCATCACACAATCTGCGTGCGTACGGGTCTCATGCGCAACATCCGTGGGTCTAGGTACACAAAGGGAATCAGCCTGGGTCATTGGACGTGGCTTATGTCAGTCACACGTCGTTTTGGCATCTTCACTAGCAACGAAGCGGAACAAGTCAACAGCGCCATTGTGCCCATCCGCAAACTGGCTGTCACACCCCTTGTAGGCAGGATCGTCGACTACCACCGGGACCGGCACTGCACGAGGAAGATGGAGGCAGAGAAGCGGACTCACCCCCTAGCAGTTGCAGCAGTTAAGAGGCTCCAGAAGAATGAGGCAAGGGCAGTGGATTACGAGCTGACATGGGGGGACAAATGGGCGAGGATCGTGCAGACCAAGAGCACGGACCGGCCCGAGGAGTGGCGGTCGTACAATGTCGATGTCAGGGAGGGCCATTAGAAGTGTGACTGTGGCAACTGGGACCAGTACAATTTCCCCTGCACCCATGTGGTTGCTTTTGAGATGCGAAACGATTGGGATGCAACGAGACTGGTATCGGACTACTACACAACTTCAAACCTCCGACTCACCCTCTCGGGGGTGACAAGACGGTCGTGCGTTGACCGGACCATTCTGGATAGCAAGTCGGTCCGCAAGGGTGTGTGCGACGCGTCCCTGTTCAGGCGGCGCATGTCCCTACCGGGAGCTCATGCTTCGGTGGTAGCCTAGTGGTGTTGGTTTGATTTTAAAACACATGAAGTGTGGTATCTATCATGGGCGGCGCAGCGTAGCCAGGTGCAGCAACCAGCACGGTGTGACACGTGACGCCCTTCGCCTTCTCGTGTTCCTGCCCTTACAGACATCTTCTTCGCCCTCACGCACATCGGCGTCGACAAGGCGACTTTAGAGTTGACTCCGAGTTGGAACTCGCCTTATCCCACCACCCTTCACATCCCCCCTCCCCTCGCAGACATCTTCTTTGCCCTCACACACATCGGCATCGATGAGGCCGACACGATCGGCAAGATTCGTCGTGCCGGCCGCCCCCCGCTCACTGGCGCGTGCGGCAGGCTCTGCGTGCTAGCTGTGCAGTTCAGCATGGAGCGGGGCAAGGAGCTGCCGCAGCCGAAAACCGACGATCTCGAGCTGCACTACCTGACGAAGAAGCTTCTAAAGAAGAACCCCGAACCAAACATCGTGGCGGTTACCAAGGCGGTGGTGGATGTTATTAATAGCACGCTGGAGCACCTGATCAGCGTCGCTGTTAACAGCAAGAAGGCGGATTACGATGTTGTAATTGGCGTGTAGATCCAGTCCGGGAACAACTTAAGTCTGGGAAGCTGGGAAGGAAAACACACCTGATTAGGGATCGACTTGATCTTGCACGTTTTGGTTACGACTTTCCATTTTGCTTTGCATTTCTAGCTTTGGTAGGACGGATCTACACTAATTTCTTCCTCCACGCTACAATGTCCCTCTTCCGGGACCGCTTTATCCCCTACAGCCTCCTGGTACGCCGTTCAAGCTGGAGAACACTGTCGAGTACATCAGCCCGTCCCTCGCCTATGTTGTGGTGGATGGTGTAAAGAAGAGCCTATAAATTCCTCGACGAATTTTAAACCACGAGCGGCATCCATGGTTCGTGTTGCGGCAGGGACGTTGCCTGGAATTTATGCAGGAGAGGTACCGGTAGGTTAGAATTTATGCGGTATGCATGGTTTCGATTTTTTGGGTTGTGGAGCAGCCTTTTCCTATCAGTTTAAAACCCGCGGCCCAAATTGTTCAAACGCACTGCGTAAGAACTCTTGGTGTGTGGTTTTACGAAACGCACACAGAATTCGCGAGGGTGTTTTTCCTCATGAATTGAAAAGTGTTCGTGCACCGTCTGATTTGACCCCAAGCTTTTGGACGGTTGAGATTGAGTCCCGAATTACTGGTGGTGCTTTGGAAAGAAGAGTTTGCGTGTGGACCGTCAGATGCGGATCTGGGAAAAATGGACGGTCGAAACACGTAAAACACATGGAGTTCCAAACTACAGCATGCAGTGTACTTGAAAGGCACCCCCAGAGTGACGAGACTCACGTTACCCCACTCTACATCCACGAAAGCGCTACTTTCAAATGCAGTGCGTTTGAAGGCCGCTCCTCGCAATTTGGGCTGCGGGTTTTAAATAGTTTTTTTTCATGTTTTATGGCAAAAAACTATGCCCTTGTAATGCAAAAAGGAGAGGTATTGTGAGCTACATAATGTTTTTTTATGTTTCATAATGGAAATTTAGTGGTGTGATGTGGTACAATACAAGTGCATGAAATGGGGGTTGATTGGACAATGTTATATCTTATTTAGGGGATTGTTAGGAATGGGGTCATGGTGTAGTAAACTACAACATTGAAACTAATGGACATTTTAGACGTCGATATGTATTTTTTAGTACCCGCAGATACATTATGGATGGAAATGTTTTTTTTTTTTTTTGTAGGGTGGAGGGTGGTGGTGGATGATTTGAGGACGTGGATGAATGAAACGGACCGTTGCAATAGATTCCTCAACAACTAGGCTACCGTATCCCCAGCCTAGCGTGGGGGGGAAGTCAGTAAACCTAGCGATCGAGTAATCGAAGCAACACAACATGTGAATTCCAAAATGAAGTCCATACATATCAATTTCAGTTCTAGATGACTACAACGAGTCAATGAAACCTTATGTGAACGACATGTAAGGGCCTATTTTTGGAACGCACCGACATGCATTACTTGTGCAACGGACGGATGCATAAACAAAGCAGCACACAGCAACCCAAAGTTGAAAAAAAGAGCAACATAAAACAAGAAACGGAAGAAAAGGGAAGCCAAATGAAGCAATGGCTCTCGACAGAGCAATGAAAAGATTGTCTTATAGCTACCATCTACAACTAAATCCTATAGTCGAATGCCAGAAGCCTCTTCCAAGCATTTCTGAAGCACGACCACACGAAATAATTAAACATCAGAACTGCAGAAATCAAACAAGAATAATACCGTAATCCCTGGATAGATGCCCCTAGGGGCGTTTAGGACGGAACGTTTTTTTTCTTGTGGGGCCTATAATCGAATTTTTAAATATAAGCCCCAGGGCCAAACTCATGCATCGTTTGCCAAAGTATAAAGAAAACATCATTTAGATGCACAATACTAATCGTTTCCTGATCCCAATTGAAATCCATGGCGTGTGTGAGTTCCGTGCTCGGCCGAAGATACTGCCAGGTTTGTTGACCGATCATCCAATGGGAAAGCTGTTTCTATGTGTGCTGGAGTCCACAGATTCAACAGAAATGCCTGCTCGCCATTGGCTAGCGTGCGCACGTGCAATGAAACCTAGTCTAAGCTGTCAGAGAGATAGACTTTGCATGCGTGCACGGAAGCAGGGGAATCGTACTCGGCAAAAGCTGTAAAATTCACCGTTTTTGAATGTTTGTTTCGTGTACCAAAAAAAAGAGGCTTAAAAGCAGAACTACTCTCCAAGGGGGGAGGGGCTTATAATCGAATTTTGCGTATAAGCCCCTTTTGTCGATTAAAGGACCCAGGGTCCAAACCTGGGGGGGGTCTTCTATCCGGGGGATAATGGTATAAAGCGGCAATGCTGTGAGAGTATGACCCTATTACACCACTGGTCACTTTCCCTATTTCCTTTCCATTCCATTTCTCTTTTTATCTCATCTCATTTGGTTTCCTATTCTTCATTTTCCATTATCCTTTGGTTTATCCAGTTATTATCATTATATCACCGACCAGGCTCGGGATTTACTAGTGCGCTCTATCTAGCGTAATCCTACCGTAATCCCTTAAAGCTAATAGCCTCGCGTGGCTATACGCAGGGTGATTCTATTTTCTAGAAGGGTCTATTCCCTTGGGATAAGATAAACCTGGTTACCTAATGTACTTTGGAAGTATACAAGCGCCTTGTACTGATCGATAGTGCAACCTTTCCTCGACACATTCGATCCTGTGACACTTGGTAATCAGAGCTTTTCTCACTCGGCCGCGCTCAACAAAGCAGCAGCAGCAAGAAAACCTGCCTCGAAAAACCGCCGGGGGCGACCAATTTGACGCCGATTCTGGTAAGCACCAGCTCCGCGTTTTTTTGAATCACCCCCCCGCGCATGTTTTGAACAGGATGACAAACTTCGACAACGCTGAGGTTACCCAACAGCTCTTCGCGCGCATCGCAGCCCTTCAGGAGGAGATGCGAGCGGATCGCGAAGCGTGGCGAAACGAGTTCGAGCGAGTAACTCGACTCACCGGAGCGCAACACGAAACGACAACGGCGACGACGCAGCAGTCGCAACAGTTTCTCGAGGCTCCGAAACCGCGCCCACCTGAGCCGTTCGATCCGAGCGATCGAAACTCCGACGCCCGCAGATGGATCGCCGGGATGGAGATCTACTTCGCAGCCGTCAGATGGAGCTCGCCAGTCTGGGACGGTCAACGCGTACGACTCGCGGCGACACTGATGCGAGGGCCGGCACTCGAGTGGATTGGCGGCAACAGTACCTTCATCCACGGTGAAGCCACGTGGCAGCAGTTCTGCGCCGACCTGCTGAAACGCTTCGAGCCGATAAATTCCAGTTTCCTTGCCCAGGAAAAAATTCATCGACACCAACAATTCGGGAGTGTAGCGCAGTACACGCAGCAGATGGAAGAATTTTATAACCGAATTCCCGACCTGACCGAAGGGGAAAAAGTACATTCGTACCTCGCCGGGCTGAAGACCGAAGTCAAACGACAAGACGACAAGTGGCAGCGTCAAACTACGCGAGCTATAGTGACGTCGTTTCGGCAGCGGAGCGCTTCGACATGGTCAACGCTGGGACACGACGGACGCACGTCGGCAGTACGCGACAGGGCGACCGCTCGGCTCACCCCACATTCGCCGACCCGATGGAAGTTGACAGATTCGAGGGGCGGCCACGTCCGAAAAACACCAACTACACGTGTGATTTTTGCGGGGTGCCGGGTCATCGAATCTTCGACTGCAACAAAATGAAGGCCGCACGCGATGAGTATTGGGCACGCAATAGTGGCGGAATTCCTTCGGCCAATCAGAAGACAAAAAATGGGAGTCGCCAGTTATTGCGGATCTAGCTGGCGAAAATAAAAAGATCCGAAAGCGGCCGCGGGATGCCGGAAAAATCAACTTCGACGAAGCTGATTCGACGCAAGAAGAAGGAAATGATGGGGGAAAATCTCCACCCCACGACCAGTCTTCGCCAGAGAAAATCGCCAAGAAAAAATACGACTCCACGAAAAAAGACTATGCCGAGACGGGGAAACTCCTTGAAGACCGAAGAAATTATAAGGATTCGTTAAAGCTATCCCATAAAGATGCTTTAATGAAAACTTATGATTCTCGAGGGGCTAGAGCCTTGGAGAAAATTCGGGAAGGACTCCAAAAGAAGCAGATAGCTGTGGAGATTATACCGGTACCGGACAACTTGGGGAAAAAATTAAGGAGTGTGGAAAGAAGCCGACCTTTCCACAGAGTCAACGCCCTCTCCCAACACCAGCCCACAACAACTACCCGTTCCCCAGGGAAGACGTCAGTGGAGCTGAAGCAGTTTAAGAGGAAGCTGGGGGTCTACAAGAAGCTGCAGAAACCCCGAACTCCTCCTCCGGATGCATCCAGTTCAGCAACTTCAGCATCAACGACGCGCACAGTCGTCAAGGAAACTCCGGGCCCTGGAGAAGAGCCGTTCTCCAAGCAGCCTCGGCCAGCTGCCAGCCTAGAAGTAGATAGTAACAAAAAGGTGTGTACGGAATATTAGGATGTATGACCCAATCAATGAAACTATTATTGGGTACCCCGAGCAATGCCTGCCCTTCGTGCTCGAGGTCATCTGCAAAGGACGACGCCTCCAAGCACTTGTGGACAGCGGAGCATCGCACACCGTCTGCAACAAGGCAGTAATCGACCGACTTCGGGAAGAGTACAAGCCTTCAGGATTCTCTGCAACGATGGTGGACAGCAGCAAGTTACCAGTACATGGCAAAGCAGTGCTACACCTACAAATTGGACCACTGCGCTGGAGACTTGCGCTCCCCATCACCAACATCAAAGGGCTTGACTTGATCTTCGGGCGAGACTTCCTAAAAAGATTCAACCCTGAGATCAACTGGGTGAATCGCACCGCAAGTATCTACAACAATGGACGGAGAGTACAGCTACCCAACTGGGACGATACAGGAGATATCCCAGTGGAGACACTCGCACGATTCGAGAAGGACGTGAAGCGAACCGACACCGGGTTCCTGGCGATAGCAATAGAGGCAGAGAACGACGGAGAGAAGACCTCGGAACCTCCGAAAAAAATCAAGAAATTGTCGACGGAGTTTCAAGACATTCTCCCTGACGATCTTCCGAACGAGCTGCCGCCATACCGCACACATCAACACGAGATCGTAGAGGAACCGGGTTCGAAGCCGACCTTCCGAGCACCATACCGGCTCAGCCCTTCGGAGCTGACCGACATGAAAAAACAGATCGAGTATCTCCTCGCCAAAGGACTCATCCAACCATCCACTTTGCCATACGGTGCCCCAGTGCTCTTCACACCGAAACCGGACGGAAGCCTGCGCATGTGCATCGACTACAAAGCTCTTAACAAGCAGACCATCAAGAATAAATATCCAATACCACGAATCGATGACCTGCTTGACTAGTTTCAGGGAGCTACGGTATTTTCCAAATTGGATCTGCGGTCCAGATACTGGCAGATACGGATGGCGGACAACTCTATCCACAAAACTGCTTTCCGAACTCGGTATGGATCGTACGAGTATTGGGTGATGCCGTTCGGACTCACCAACACTCCTGCAACGTTCCAAGCAGTGATGAATCATATTCTACGCCCACTCTTGGACGAATGCGTGGTGGTGTACCTGGCCGACATTCTCGTCTACTCGCGCGACATGCAACAATACGTCGAACACTTACGACGCGTCTTCGAGATTCTTCGAAGAGAATGCTTCTACGTCAAACTATCCAAGAGCGACTTCGCCCTCGAGAAAGTCCAATTTCTCGGACATATCGTAAGCACTCAAGGAGTTCATGTCGACCCCAAGAAAATCGAAGCCGTGCGTATGTGGAAGACACCCGAGAACGTGAAGGAGTTACAGCAGTTCCTTGGCTTCGCTAACTACTACAACAGGTTCGTGCCGCAATACGCGAAAATTGCCGCGCCACTCACGAATCTGCTGAAAAAGAACACACCCTACAAATGGGAGCCGAAGCACCAGGAAGCCGTGGAGCAGCTGAAGCAAGCACTTACGTCCGCACCAGTACTCATCTTGCCACATCCCGAACGCGACTACGTCATCGAAGCTGACGCCAGTGACCAAGCAGTGGGAGCAGTCTTGATGCAAGACCAAGGGAATGGACTGCAACCAATCGCCTACCTCAGCAAGAAACTACACAGGGCAGAACTAAACTACCCGATACACGACAAAGAGGCCCTTGCCATCGTCATCGCCTTCAAAGCGTGGAGATGTTATCTCGAAGGACGAAGAACAACCGTCTACACCGACCACTGCAGCCTGAAATATTTGAAGACACAACCCAACCTTTCCAGTCGGCAGGTCCGATGGATCGACTTCCTCGAGACACACTTCCACTACGACATCGTGTACAAACCTGGCCATAAAAACAAAGCAGATGCGCTTAGCCGGCCTGCACACGTTGCCTATTGAACGGGATGAACCCACTATTCGAGGGACTCTTCACACACGGGTACACCATCGACCCCGAAATTCCCTTGGCAGAAAAGCGACATCTGCTCCAGTGGGACAACGACATCGCGTACCGGAAAGGATCAACGAAGATCTGGGTACCTAATTACCCTCCATTGCGCCAATTACTACTCGAAGAATATCACGACGTCCTATATGGAGGACACTTTGGTAGCAACAAGATGCTCGCCAGGTCGCCAAACACTACTACTGGCCCCACATGGCAGATGACGTACAGAAATTCGTCACCTCGTGCACTACATGTCAGTGGATGAAGAGCAGCAAACAGAAAAAGGCGGGACTACTACAGCCTCTTCCTGTCCCAGAACAGCCATGGCAAGTGGTCAGCCTAGACTTCATCACCGGCCTATCAACTACCACAAGCGGTCATAACGCGATCCTTGTCGTCATTGACAAGTTCTCCAAAATGGGACACTTCATCCCAACACACACGACAGCATGCACCGAGGAGACGGCACAACTCTTTGTTTGCCACATCATCTCACAACATGGCATCCCAACCATACTCATCTCCGACCGAGACCCTAAGTTCACCAGCAAGTTCTGGAAGGAACTTATGTCTCTACTCGGGACCACACTCGCCATGTCATCCGCCTACCATCCGCAGACAGATGGACAGACCGAGCGCCTCAACCAAATTGTGGAGCAACTCCTCCGCGCAGCCTGCAAGGACAAAATCTCAAAATGGGACTTGCATCTGCCCGTCCTGGAGTTTGCGTACAACAATGCCACTCACGCCGCTACGGGTCAGACGCCGTTCTTCCTCTGCTACGGACGCCACCCACGCACACCACAGAAACCGACGCCATCTGGAACAGTCCAACCAGCACACGACTTCATCACAACCATGCATCAGCTTTGGGATCGGACCCACAAGCGCCTCATCGACATCCAGCAGCAACAGAAGCGCCAGGCCGATCGCCACCGCACAGACCACACCATCACCGTGGGAGATCGAGTTCTACTCGACACACACAATCTTGACATCAGCCATCTCCCATCCAAACTGCGACCTCGCTTCTGCGGGCCCTTTCTCGTTGAAGCGCAGGTTACTCCTGTTACCTTCCGCTTACGCCTGCCAGCTACCTGGAAGATTCACAACGCCTTCCATGTCCAACTCTTGAAGCCCTACTTAGATCCCAACGCGATCTTCTCTGGACGCCAACCGCCGCCGCCGCCGCCCGTCCTCGTCCATGACGAACCCGAATACGAGGTCGAGTCCGTGCTTGCTCATCACCGTCGACAGAATGGCACCATGGAGCTTCTCATTCGCTGGAAGGGTTATGATCCTTCTGAGGACAGCTGGGTACCTGAGTCCAACATGGGTAACGCCCGTCGTCCTCTGCATGACTACCTTGTCAAGAAGGGTGTTACTTCTACCACCCAGCTTTGAGGGGGGGAAGGGTGAGAGTACGACCCCGTTTCACCACTGGTCCCTTTCCCTATTTCCTTTCCATTCCATTTCTCTTTTTATCTCATCTCATTTGGTTTCCTTCTCTACATTTTCCATTATCCTTTGGTTTATCCTGTTATTATCATTATATCACCGACCAGGCTCGGGATGTACTAGTGCGCTCTATCTAGCGTTATCCTGCCGTAATCCTTTAAAGCCAATAGCATCGCGTGGCTATACGCAGGGTGATTCTATATTCTAGAAGGGTTTATTCCCTTAGGATAAGATAAACCTGGTTACCTGATGTACTTTGGAAGTATAAAAGCGCCTTGTACTGATCGATAGTGCAACCTTTCCTCGACACATTAGATCCTGTGACATGCGGGACAGGGCAGGTGAACGGAGCGCATAGAGCTTGCTGCTGTTGAGTGTGAAGCGTGCTAGGAGCTTGTTAGACTTAGGGTCGAGGAGGTCACAGTCATCCAAGTGTGCTGGGAAGATCGTGGTGACGCCTGCCCGTTGGAGCTCGTGTTGGGCCACGAGATTGTGGCGTAGTGTGGGAACACACATGCCGGTCACACTGCCCGAAGGGAAAGCTGGGCACGGAACTGTAGAGGAGCCCTTGGCGTGTATGGTGAAATTGGAGTCTGCTCCTAGTATACGGATTGGTGTCTCGTACGGCTTGAAGGAGTGTTCTTTTGAGAACTGTTTGAGTGGCCCCACTGTCGAGGGTGAACTCTATTGTGGCCGGGGTGCTTTGTGAGCCGGGACACTGCGAAATTGTCTCATTAAACATGGCAACGCCAGTGAACAACATGTTGAGGCGCACATCAACAGGGGCAGTCATAGCAGCCTGCACGGATTCCTGCGCTTCGACATGATTGGCCTTGGCTTGAGCGATGTTGTCCTTTTCGACAGAAAGGAGGGCTGATGAGACCTTCGCAAATGTGAGGTCTGCAGGAGCAAGGCCCAAGAGCATCTTGCGTGTGACTTCGTATGCCGGAGTGAGGCCGACTCGGAGAGCGGCTGCAGGGGCTTGCTCGGGGAAGACTATCCCCAACTACTTGAGTTCACCATAAATGGACTGCACCTTGGTGACATAGTCCGCCATGCCTGGCAAATCCTCGAGCCTCACATGGAACATGCTGGGGATGAGTATAGCAACTCCCACTGCAGTTTTGTTCAGGAAGCGGTCTTCGAGGTAGAGCCAAATGGCGTTGGCAGACGGGTAGTTACAGTGACGGAAACAATTGTCCGGATGTTTTGCATTAATTAGGGTTTTTGGGCTTTTCGACCACTGTACATCTTAATGTTTAATGGTGGTACGCTTTGGGAGGGCACATAGTGGATGTGTTCACAGCCCTAAAATCCATGATAGTACATAGGATCTAACTTAGTGCCAAAAGATATACAAATAGTACATCTGGACAATTGTTTCCCAGAACAAAGAGCAAACTTCCGAGCGGTGTTGCTAGTACCTAGTCAACCGAAACTTGGCCTTGATCACCACTCGCACCCTCCTAGGTATGTTATCTACGAGGTTAGTGCAAACCCTTTACAGGGATCTTTTCGCACTCGTCCTGGACCCACGCTTTTGCATAAGGGGGTGAGCACTAGGAAATCGCCAAGGATTTGAGCGTATGCAAGAGTATTGTGCACGATTCAGGTTGAATGTTATCTCTTGGACCAGCCATGCTGAGGTGTCACCAAAGATGCCATAAGTCGATTTATCCCGTCTTATCATGGATCGTCTTCGTCGTACTGTTGTAGGTAAAAATTACGAGCAGAGTGGCGAAAATTGGTGTATCTGCCACGAAACTTAGGGTAACATAGCATGGTCCGACTGTGCATCCTTGCACTATTAGAATCGCGCTAGGATCCGTAGGTCTCGTCACGGTGCAGGAGTCGAAGAAGTCGCGACTGTTTAGAAAGAATATCCGGGTCGAGATCTGGTGAGGAAAAGGGTCACTCCAGCGTAACATACTCATGTTCTCCAAGCCATTCAAAGGCATGTGTCCTGCCTAGGCTTGGAATGGCTTGGAGAGCATGAGTTTTGTCGCACTGGAGTGACCCTCTTCCTCACCAGATCTGAACCCGGATATTTTTCCCCCACCAGTCCTGGCTTCTTAGACTGCTGCACTATGAGAAGACCCGTAGATTTTAACGTGATTCTATTAATGAATGGGTGCACTGTCGACCGCGCTATGTTACCCAAAGTTTCGCGGCGGACACGCTAGTTTTCGCCACTCTGCTCGTAATTTTACCCTACAACGGTACGAGGAAGACAATTGATGATAAGATGGAACTAATCGACTAATGACATCTTTGGCCACACCTCAGCATGGCTAGTCTAAGAGATTGCATTCAACCTGAAATCGTGCACAGTACTCTTGCATACGTTCAAATACTTCGCGATTTTCCTTGTGCTCACCCCCTTATGCAAAAGGGTGGGTCCAGGAAGAGTGCGAAAAGATCCCTGTAAAGGTTTGCACTAACCTTGTACATAACATGCCTAGGACGGTGCAGGTAGTTATCAAGGCCAAGTGTTGGTGCAGAAGGTACGAGAAACGCTGCTCGAAAGTTTGCTATTTGTCCTAGGAAATAATTGTCCGGATGTACTCTTTGTATATCTTTTGGCACTAAATTATATCCAATGTACTATTATGGAATTTAGCGCTATGAACACATCCACTATGTGCCCCTCCTAAAGCGTACCACCATTAAATATTAAGCCTTTATGTACATAAAGCCCAAAAACCCTAATTAATGCAAAACATCCTGACAATTGTTTCCGTCACTATATGGAAGGTTTCGACGAGTTCGGGAGGAGGGGTGCCCATGAAGACACTAATGACCACGCCATAAGCCTTCTCCCAATACTTGTACTTGAGCAGTGCAGCATTATATACTGCTTCGGCGGTGGCACTAGCTCAATCGGCGGACCTCTTGGGTTTAGGAGGCTCTTTGCCGTCACCGATATTGAGAAGGACGTCGGTGAGCTCGAGCCCCTTCACCTAGCGACTGAGGAGGTGCTTGTCGACACCATAGTGCCAAACCTTGTAGTTCAAGCACGTACCGTCTGGCCCGAGACGAAGGACGCGATCGGGTTGGCGAGTGAAGTGGTTGAGTAAGCCATTGCCGCTTGATTTTCACAAAGCGATGCTCTTAAGTCATCAATAGGAACTTCGGTGCGCAGCGCGGTACTTCTGGAAATCGGTCGACGAGAATTGCTGAAAATCACTCTGACGTTTCGTCGAAATGCCGCTAAGAAGGAAATGGCATGGGCGATTGTTTTTTTAAAACGCCGACTTGAAACTGAATCTGAGACTATGTCTAACCTCGCACCCACACACCCCCATGCCCTAACCCGCAGCTACACAGCTGTGCAACCAGCTACGCAACCAGCTCCGCTCCGCTTCCACCTGTATACCTGCTCTTGCTTGACGCGAGACATTCGTGGAGGCGATTTTGCGAGGGGAGTTCGCCTATTTTGGCGAGGTCCGAGGGGAAGCTCGAAAACGAGTTTTAAGAGATGGTCAAAATCGAGATTCGACCAAGGAGAACCGAGGAGGAAATCGACGATGAGAAGCGTGAAAGCTTCAAAGATGAGACTAGGACCTTGATCCGCGTGTAAGGATAGGTCGCTCTGATACCACGTAAGAAATAGAATTGAAATTATTAACTAGGAAAGGAGCCCAAGGCTCTATAAGTACATGGCAAGGTGAGAGAGAATGGATGAAGGGGGAATCAGAGGGAATCCCCATTGGGATCTACGGAATCTCCAATAAGGTAATTGCGGGGATCACAATTGCGTGAGGTTGGGATTTTGTGAGCACACCCCAACCCACTAGAACATTCCTAACCTAAACTATGATATAAAAGTACAAATACAGAAGTGGGATTTGCAATCTCTTTCTAACACACCCCCATAGACTGCAAACCCGGTCAAGGAGCACATAACCCCATGGAACAAAGAAGGCGATGGTGGTCAGCCTTGCCGAGAGCCTTGGTAAAGAGGTCGGCGAGGTTGCAATCTGAGGCGATGTACCGTACCTTCAGCTGGTCACTCTGAACAAGATCTCGTATGAAGAAATGACGAAGTTCGATGTGCTTGGTGCAAGAGTGGAACACAGGGTCCTTGGTGAGGTGAATGGCGCTCTGGTTGTCACACCACAGGGTGGGCGACTGCTGGGGGTAGCCTAATTCAGCGAGGAGAAAGGAGAGCCAACGTGCCTCCTGAGCAGCCATTGTGCCTACGTAGAGCTCGGCCTCGCAGGACGACAGGGGAGACTGCAGAGGACCGAGTGGAACGCCAGGTGATGACTCCGCTACCAAGGGTGAAGCAGTACCCTTGGGAGGAGCGTCTGTCAGTATGGTCATCGGCCGATGAGGAGTCTATGTATCCCTCGAGCTTGACTAGAGAGGTACCACCAAGAGTAAGGATGTAGAGTGGAGACAGAGTTACGAGAGTCCATGTCGAAACGCTTGAGAAGGTTGTCGATGTAGGACTCCTGGGAGAGGGTGATCGTGCAAGCCTGGCGGTCACGAGTGATCTCCATCCCCAGGAACTTCTTTAGGTCACCAAGATCCTTCATGAGAAGGGCGGAGCTGAGAGCAGACTAGACAGCTGCCATCTCGGCTAGATCTCTGGTGACTAGAATGAAGTCGTCAACGTAGACGAGGATATAGAAGGGCTCGGAGGAGTGACGAGCAAAGAGACTGGAATCTGAGGCGGAGGGATGGAATTCAAGTGCGAGGAGGACTTCCTTCACCTTGTTGTGCCACTCACGAGGAGCCTGCTTGAGGCCATACACTGGGCGCTTCAGCTTCCACAATATGTTGGCAGGATAAGTGCCGGGAATCCCCGATGGGCCGTTCCATGTGAACATCCTCCTTGAGCTGGCCTTGGAGAAAGGCGGAGGAGGCGTCCATGGACTTGATCTCGAAGTTGCCGCGAGCGGCTA